CAGGAGGCCCTTTGGTGCCAACTTGCTTATCAAGAGAAGGGCTTTCTCCCCAGCTGTCTTGTAGCACCATGATTGATGTGAGCAGATAATTAATATCTCATCTCCAATGGGGAAAGCAGATTGCATTTCTCTTTTGCATTTCTTAAAGCCAACCAGTGAGTTTATCACTGTTTGTGTGTTCACTTTACTTAATCTAATTATGGCAGCCATGTCAAAATACAGCTTAGCATCATCACACAGACACCCACACAAAGCTGTGCATGCACACTCTCTTGGCCTTGGCCTGGCTTTTGTGAGCTACTTGGGGACATTTCCTTTTTCAAAGCAACATGTGTAGAAGTTAGACAAAAGGCTAGAAGAAAAAGATGTCATCTCTGAGCTTCTTTCCATTTTTGTTTTTATGTTCCAGGCCTTCTCTGAAGGACATACACGACTCTTAGAAACCAAACAAAAGGCAGTAAAATTGTTTTTTAAAATGTGTGAAGTATGGAAAACCAGGCAGCCCTCAGAAAGCGTTTAGAGTCTTGGAAGTACAAGTGCTTTGGACCCTGGGCTCTGTGAAAAGCAGGGGCCATCAAGCTGGGGTACTGAAGGTTCTAGGATTTGAGCCCTGACTCTGTACTTCTGTTCAGCTGACTTTCTTTGCACAGTACAGTTAGAACAGGTAGACTAGTTACTGTGTGCCAGGCACTGTCCTCAGTACCTACATATTACTTCTTCCTGATCTCAAAACAACCTCGTCATGTAAGAACAACCACCGTCGTGCCCATTTTGCAGATGGGACCATTGAGGCCAGGAAGGTATGAAGCAGATCATAACTTAGAAGTAGAAGCCAGACTTGAACCCAGGTAGTCTATACTCCTAGCCACTGGGCTATGTGCTAGAGTAATTGAGTTCAGTGTGGAGTGTACTTATGACTGATACGTTCCTTCCATCAGTGTGGTCAGTTCGCTGCCCCTGTGGCTAAGAGGTAGGAGAGCTGGGCATTTCCTGTTGCTCTCCCTCCAGCCACCTCAGCCTTTTTCACGCACTTGGCTTCGATCCCTTATCTCTTCCCCACAATTCTTCCGTTGACTGATCCCTTCTTGACCATCCTTCTCATCAATCTGAAATTCCATCTCTTCAGCAAAGCCTTGCCTAACAATCTGTACTAATCGAGTCCCTGTCTCTTTGTTCTCTGTCATCACTCACTGACCATTTCTGTCTAGCAATTATCACAAATATCTATGCTATCTGAATGTATTTTGTAGTTCTCTTTGTCTACTTACTTAGCAGAACAGTATTGTAGACTTGTGGTTGAGAATGTGGAATTTGGTTTGGATCCCATCCTTGCTGCTAGCTAGCTGTGTGGTCTTGACAAATTTACTTAACCTCTCTGTGTCTGTTTCTTCCTTCGTAAAATGAATGCTTCTAGGGTTGTGGTGAAGACTAAATGAGAGAATATATATTAAGTGCAAGGAATAGGACCTAGAAAGCAGCACAGCTCAGTGGTGTTGTTTTTATTTCTCTCTTACCACAGAAGAGAGAAGGATGCAAGAATAAGGCCCACCTATATATGCTTTGCACATAAGCCTAGAGTATTGAAGTTACTCTCTAGAGATGCCAAGTGAGCAAATGCCCCAGATTCCACTGCAACCGAAAAGGGGTATAGCAGCTGACTCGGGTGGGCCAGGAGGCACACACCCACCAGGGCCTGAGAGCAGCAAGGCTGCTATGGAACTGCCAGACTGGGAACCCAGCGAGCTGTAGCCACAATCACTTTGTATCCAGAGTGATTGGACAGAAGTAGAAGGATGTCTGTGGCATGTGTCACCACTGCCACCACAGTCATGGGCAGTGCTTACCTCAGATAATGGCAGGAGACCAGGTTCATTGTGGGCACTTTGGGCTTCTGTCCTTGGTGCTGAACTAGCATGCCTTTCAGACACAGGTTTCTTGTTAGCCTTGGTGGTGTCTCCCACTTGCCTGCCCCAGGAGAGAAAAGAAGAAAGAAATTGTAATGTTTCTAGCCTGATGAAGGAAAAAAATCCCAAGGATCTTGGTGAACATTTATAAAACATTTACTATGTTCTAAGCATAAGTCTTCTCCCTACATAATCTCATTGAAATGTTCACACCAACCCTCAGGGACTGTAACCCTGAGGCAGGTATTTTCTGCATGCAAAGCCAGGGTATCACCTATTGAGGTTTCCCAAGGTTAGTAGCATATCTGAGATTTGGACCAAGTTGTCTGGTTCCAGAACTCAATGCTTGAGCATCTTATAGTGACACCTGTGAGCCCACTCACATAGCTGGCTGACTTCATACATTGTGGGGGTTTGTGCTTTGTTCCATAACTATTTTTTCACTAAAATGCTTAGGTTGTACTTATGCTAACAGAGTAATCCAAGTTCAGTGACAGATCACTGGGTAGAAAAAGAAAAGGAGGGGAGGTTTCTGTAGGCTATGGCTATGTGACTTTGAATGACTTTGGATAATATATTGTGTGTGTGTGTGTGTGTGTGTGTGTCAATCTGTAGGATATTAGCTGATTGCTAAAAGTCCTTCTTGCTCAAACATGCTGTAAAGTCTAAGGGGCATAGTTCTTCCTTTTAGAACTCATTATAGGACAAGACAGTTCTAGAATAATTCCACACTTGATGAATATGCTGAGATTATAGCCAAAGAGTTTGATGAATCGAGAGACCTCTTCATTGTCTGCCTTTTCTGAGATCATTTCCAAAGTCAATAGATGCTTCTTAACTGACCTCTTCGCTGATAGACGAGAATCGGGGCCACGTCTAATGGTTCCTTCCCTGCTTAGTTGAGTAGTTTCTGTCATGTGACATCCAGTCAAATCATGTTGAGCTCTTCCTGTGTCTCGTATTGTGCAGTAGAAAAAAATTCTCAGGAAAGCAAACCACCCATCCCTGAGCACCCACCCAGGAAGTAAATCCCAAACAGCTGATTCCTTTCACCTGCCAGATACCAAACACTGGGCCTCTGCCACTCTTCCAGTCTGGACCTGAGTTCCTGGTAGCCTCTCTCAACCCAGGAACTTCTCTGAGGCCTAGGGAATTGCTTGTCTCTGTTTACTCATAATTAACCAGAGCATGCTCTTGCAGCATATCAGGTTTTGAATGCAGTAAATACAGCAACCTATCTCCCAACCCCATAAATATTTCATTTTGGAGATTACTGCATAAATATTGTATTTAGATATTATGGTCTGGGACACTGCATTAAAATTGCAAGATGCTGCTATCATCCCATATAATGGTACATGAAGTTTAAAAGTAAAGAAAAATTTTGTATTCTCTCTTTCTCCCTCTCTCCCTTACTCTCTTTCTTCTGTTCTTCACCTTTCTCTCTTAGTCTTGGCTACCATTGTAAATTTTGATATAAATTTTATCTAAAACCTAAAGCATTAAGCATAGTCAAGTGCTAACTGTCAAGTAATTGGCACCAACCAGAGTAGAGGTCGGATTTTATTTTCCTAAACTCAGGAGCTTCTTTTCATGAGCCAGTCAGTGTCAAGTTTGTGTTGATGAAGTAATATAGTGAGTATATCAAAAAACTCAAGTGAACTGAATATTGAGGATGAGTAACTGTCCTCAAAATTGAGATGTGCTTCCCAGAAACATGAAGAATGGGTGTTGGCAAGCAAAAACAAGGAATGAAGCACCCCTACATTCTACAATATGGACAAACTTTGAAAACAAGATGCTAAGTAGAAAACAGAAACTCAAGAAGGCTACAGAATGCATTACCCCAGCTCTATGAGACATCCAGAATAGGCAGATCCAGAGAGTCAGAAAGCAGGAGCTGCCAGAATCCAGATGAAAGAGAGTAGGAGGATTGAGTATGGGTGCAGTCCTCTGGCAGTGATGAAAATTTTTTAAAGAGAGAGAGATGATTGCTGTACAACATTGTGAATGAACCAATGCTATTGAACTGTATCCTTTAAAAATGGTTAATTTCTCTGTTGTATGAGCATGGGGCATCCTCCTTCTCCTCGTCCCATGCCGGAGCCAGCACAGTGTCTACACATAGTGGGTATACAATTAATTTTAACTATAAATGAACTAGGAGTTTGGGTTGGATGATTTGGCTTTAGCTGTCTTCACCCTCCCAACACAATCACTTGACCAAGTCTTTGACCTTGGATTTCTGCATCTGTACAAAATGGCAATTCCCTGTCTGCCATGCAAAATCAGACACACTCACACATGAACAAGAGCTATTAATCTGGGTGAGTTAATTCAGGGGGATTATGACTTTGAGTGGGGAGAAAAATCTTTATTTTCACTAAACACTAACTGAAATCCAACTAAATGCAGATAACAAAGCACAACAGAATTAACAATAACTGGATTGTCACTGATAGGAATCTCAAATTTTCTTTTCACATTATGTTGATCTATATACTTCTAAATAGCACTTACGTGCTCTGCTTCTTCAAAATTACTGTAGCCGTTGGCCTGCCACAAATCTTATTAATGTGTTTTTTAAAAAAATGGTGTTTTATCAGAAATTTGGTGTTTAAAAAATATTTTGTAATCCCATATGTAATGTGTGAATCAAGAAGCACATGTGTTACTTTCTCATCACTTTGGTATTTTATGAAACTATTTTGTGACCTTTTGTTGTATGCATTTAAGAGCCGTATTCTGAGAGGGTCCATTAAGGATGAGGGTCCATTAGTGTATTCACCAAACTGCCAAGACGTTAGAAGAGAACATTCTTTGAAAATGAAGTAGATGGAGCTGATGATTGTTGTCATCTAACAGCCCAACAGTACTGGCCAAATCTAATTTCTGTAGCTCTAGTGTGTCCTCTGTAGAATGGGCAAGACCATGACGCCTTCTCATAGGGATGTGGCCACCTGCCTCATCTGTGAAGGCCACGGGACAACCTACACAGAGAGCCATTGCTCAGCAGCTGGTAGAAGGCTGTGGACTCTGTGAGGTGCACCCTCTTCCAGGGCACCTGGGGGCCAAGAGCTGTTTTGTGTCTCCCAGGTTCATCCGCAAACAGGGCCTGGACCGGCTCTTCCTGGAGTGTGACGCCCACATGTGGCGCCTGGGGGACCGGCGCATCCCAGAGGGCATTGCGGTAGATGGCGGCTCCGATTGGTTTCTGCTGAACCGGAAGTTTGTGGAATATGTGACATTCTCCACGGACGATCTGGTGACCAAAATGAAGCAGTTCTACTCCTATACCCTGCTTCCTGCTGAGGTGAGTGTGTATGTGGGGTGGGGGAGGGGTGGGCAAAGTTCCTGGAAAGGGCAGGGACGGGCTCTAGCTTTTGCAGCAAAACCAATGTCATGTTTTTGGCAAAGAAATGCCAGATCCAATAGACACATAGGCCTCGGGACACCTAGGATAGACACATAGGCCTCGGGACACCTAGGATAGACACATAGGCCTCGGGACACCTAGGATAGACACATAGGCCTCGGGACACATAGGCCACTATCCCTGGTTCACCTCTGTCTGCAAGGAGGGTGCCTGAGACGCACACGCTGCACAGCAAGCAGCACAAAGCCTCAGTGCAAGTGCCCCGGGGAAAGCAGCCCTTCCCCCAGATACTGGCCACCACCCGTTGACCATAAAATCATAGTATGTTGATTTTGTTAGAGATAACACTTAACTGACATTTTTGTGAAAACTCTCACCAAAAAGAAATGCAATCCTGTAGTATCTGGTATTGCTGGTGTTCCCTTGAGTTGTGCCATGTGTTACCGTCACAACTGCATATGCTGATGCTTTCAGGACACAACCACATCACCTTCTGACAGCTTCTCTCCAGTTTCCACTCACATATTAGCTTTTCCAACATAAAGAGTCCTTTTCCTAATACTGACTATTGTTTCTGCATTCCCTGAGAAACAGACAATAAGATCTGCCTCATCAACCATTCCAGAAATTCCAGCAATCCCAGACAGTGAGCCAAGGCTTCTGCTGGATTTGAACTGGCCACCTGCATTGACAAGTGCTTGGGGCCCAACATTGCTTTTTGACTTTTAAACATATTTAAAAAGCTTTGAGGCTCTTGTCACCACTTCACATCTCAGGATGGGAACTATCTAAATTCAGACTAATAGAACAAAATACAGTAAACTAAGTGACTCAGAAACAATAAAAATTTGCTTCTCTGGAAGCTGGGATTGGGAGATCAGGGTGCCAGCAGAGTGAGGTGAGGGGCCTCCTCTAGTTTTTGGCCTGCCTATCAAAAGTTGATGTGACCCTACTTAGTAGAGGGGGCTGGGGGTTCTCTGGGGTCCCTTATATAAGGGCACGAATCCCACTCATGAGGGTACCACCCTTATGTCCTAATCATCTCCAAAAGGTCCCACGTCCTAACACATTATATTTGGGGGTAGGATTTCAGCATGTGAATGGGGGGGTGGGACACATCCATTTCAGAAGCCCTGTTGTGTAAGACAGCAGACTATTATAAAATACTCCAGCTCCTTCTGGAAATGGGTAGTAACCCAGTTCTAAAGTGCTGCCACTGGTATGCCAGTAGCTGTACTGGACCTGGGCTAAGAAATTCTTCAGTTCACATTCATCCTAATTTCCAACTTCAGAAAACCCCAAAGCTGGCCCTATTTATGCTGAGCCCATAACATGTCCCGTTATGTCCACAATTCCTTCCTGCCTGTGGCCAACTCTGGACCACTCAGCCTGTGCTTCTAGAAGCCAGAGAAGACAGTGTATCTCATTTGATAGTTTCCATGTCAGTCACCAGCATCTTGGGCAATGATCGGGCTGATACCCACGTCACTCCAGAGGGATGGTGAACTTGTCACTGGGCCAGGTTTTACTATTCTGCACACATGTTAAGTAATCAGCTTTTAATCCTATTTCAGTGAAAATCACCTTTTCTCTCAATGCCGATAGCCTCTTCATCCATTATCTTGCAGGGAATTTCTGTATCACAGTGAAAGGACACAGGGCAATCGGTAATTGGGTACTTTTCCCCACCACTTGATGGGGAATATGTGCCTCTGTGAGCTTCTAGACAATTCAAACTTAAAATCCAGCTTCACAGGCATACCATTTAGCACCATAGCAAGGTCAGCTGGTGGTGGTGGGCGGAGCTGCATTTTGCCTGCCGACCCAGTGAGAAGAGATTAGGATTTGGTCGCTTTCATCAAGATGGCCATCCCATTGCTGATGGCCAGTGCTGAACGAAGCTCTGTGTGTACTCTCTGTGCCCACCACCCCGCACAGACAGGCACATTTCACTCTAGGGTCCCTCTCAGATCCCAGCACCTCCATCCCAACAGCTCTGTCTTGTCTTCTTTTCTCCCAGTCCATCTTCTGGGGGATGGTTTGGAAGAAATAAATTTGTAACAAGCAGACATATATCCTCAATAGCTTTCCTTAGGGAACAGAGAAATGTGGAAAATGGATTTGCCTGGTATCTTAGGCGGTTATAAACCAGTGTCCTCTCTCTCTCACACACACCCCGACTCAC